CCAAAGGCGCGGGACTATAGGCTGAGGCACCGATCCCGGCACTTTTTTTTTTTTGAGTCTGGTTCTCACTTTGTCGTCCAGGCTAGAGTACAGTGGCACCATCACAGTTGACGGCAGTCTCAACTTCCTGGGTTCAGTCAATCTTTCCACCTCAGCCTCCCAAGTAGCTGGGACTACAGGCATGCACCACCACACCCAGCTAATTTTTATTTTTATTTTTGTAGAGATGAGGTCTCAGTATGCTGCTTAGGCTGGTGTCGAACTCAAGCAATCCTCCCGCCTCAATCTCCTAAAGTACTGGCGTGAGCACCCGTCCCACACTGGAAATTTCTTGAGGTAAATACCTGCTCTTACTAAAAAGTTTAAAGCTAGTGTTTAGTAATGCATCAAATTTATTTTTTTTAGTAAGTAGTCAAAGGTATTTACAGAAACAAAGGTAGCCATGATAATGCCATGCAATTTTTATGGCTTAAAAAAAAAGTAATCGCTGACCATCAAGATTAGACAGAAGTACCCAAAGTCAATATGAGCTAAATGTCAAACTTTCCAATGTTTATTCATTGCATTGTTGTAACTCACTGATAACTCAAGAAAGTACAATTTTAAAGGTTTCTGAAGATAAAAGAAAAGGAACAGAAATTCTTGTCAAGGGGGAAAAAGAGGGGAAAGAAGAATCTACAGATTTAAAGGAACTTAGGTTAGCAAGCAAATGTAATATGCTTGGCTCCAGACCAACTGCCATTGGGGATTAGGGGAGAAAAGGGAAGACAGAATTTGAATGCCTATCAAAATAACTTGAACATGACTGATTCTTTATCAAATTAAGGAATGACTGATTGTTGATGATAAGACTATTGTGATTTGAGTTTTGTTTGTTTTTTTTTCCAGAGACAGGCTCACTCTACCTAGACTGAAGTGCAGTGGCACAATGATAGCTCACTGCAGCCTCAAGCTTCTAGGTTCAAGTAATCCTCCCACTTCAGTCTCCTGAGTAATTAGGATTATGTGTGTGTCACTATGCCTGATTACATTTTTTTTTAATTCTTGTAGAGACAGGATCTCTCACTATGTTGTCCAGGCTGGCCTCAAATTCCTGGTTTCAAGTGCTCCCTCCTGGCTCCCAAAGCACTGGGCCTTCCAAACCACTGGGATTAAAGGAGTGAGTCACTGCCTCCAGCCCAGGATATCGTGTTTTTGTAAAAACTGTTGGCTTTCTTAGAAATAAAGCAAGTCCCCTACAGACGAACAAGTTCTGTTCCGAAAGCACATTCGTAAGTCCAATTTGTTTATAAGTCCAACAGAGTTAGCCTAGGTTCCCAACTACTACAATCTACTTTTACAATCTACTTTTACGCTTGCTTCCAGACACCCTGGGCTTGAAATAAAGATACTGTACTATTATCCTCTATACAGTACAGTAAACTACACAAAAGCACAACCACTTGTAGAGGATGTACACATGTGACAATGTATGCTAAATACATGAACTAACTTATATGACTGGATATGTGAACACACATTTGCATCTTTGAAAGTTCACAACTTGAAGGTTCATATGTAGGAGACTTATTGTATACTGACGTATTCATTTTAAAAAATGATGTGATACTGGGCTTTCTGTCAAAACAATGGGGGATGCAGCAAGGAGCATGAGGGGGGATTCAAAAAAACAGAACACCAACTTGTCTAGTGGAGAAGCCTATACTACAAGGGGCCTGTCCTCTAACAGATTTATTAATAAAAAACATAAATAAATATTTATTTATATTAATTTGTTTCCCTGGATGAGAAAGATATTCAAAGAGAAACATTTTGCCGTTGTGGAAGTGGTGAAACAAAAAATGGCAGAAACACTAAAAGGCATCAGAATTAACAAGTTCAAAAACTGGTTTGAGCAGTGGGAAAAAGTGTCTCAAGGTGTAATGCATCAAACAGAAAGTACTTGGAGGGTGACTGAAGTCTAAACATGTATGAATTGACACATAATTTTTTATAAATAAATCTGTTAGAGGGCAAGCCCCTTGCAGTACAGGCTCCCCCCACTAGACAAGTGTTCTACAAACACACTGGCATTGGTGTACCAGCTAGTGTTGTTGTGAGAGGCTGCGTTCAGCTTCAGTGATTTTTTTTTTTTTTTGAGACTGCTTCAGTGTGTTTGCCCATTTCCTGATAGGTGATTTACAAGCACACCTGCCTACACCGCACTGAGTGTTCGGCAACTTTTGACCAAAAATCGGCATGACCCTCATTGCCCCACCCTCCCTATTCACCCACTCTCCCCTGAGCGACTTTGTATCCCCGGATGAGAAAGATATTCAAAGGGAAATTTTTTGCTGGTGTGGAAGCGGTGAAACAAAAAATGACAGAAGCATTAAAAGGAATCAGAATTAACAAGCTCAAAAACTGGTTTGACCAGTGGGGAAAAGTGTCTTAATAGGTGTAATGCATCAAACAGAAAGTACTTTGAGGGTGACTGAAGTCTAAACATGTACGAATCAATACACAATTTTTTATAAATAAATCTGGAGGTTTTGGGGTCTCCCCTTACATGTTTATTTCTATTTTATCACCCCTTGCTGGAATGCAACCTCCTTGAAGGTAAGGACTTTGCTTTGTGTCCTTTTAACTATGTCCTCAGATCCTAAACAATAATTGGAACATAAGAGGAGATAAAGAAATATCAGCTGGAATGCTCAGGATCCTAGTAAAGTACAACTTAATATCAAAGAGGGTTAAGAACAAAAACTGATACTCTTCCCTTGAGCCCAGGAGATGGTGGCAAAGGTGAGCCGTGATCATGCCACTGCACTCAAGCCTGGGCCATAGAGTGAGACCCTGTCTCACTCACACACACACACACACACACACACACACACAAATACTCTTAACATAAACCAAGAACAGGTACCTCCATCACTCACACACACACTGACACTCATTTTTCATAGTACAAAAGTGACATCAAGGTACTATTTTTATCCATTATCCTAGTTAGTCTTTCTTAAATAGCTGAAAAATCAATGACTACAGGTTCTCAAAAATAAAAGCTGAATCTATCTACATGAGTCAGACCTCACTGGACACAGTATCTACACACACCCTCTATAGTATTTGCAATATATACAAAATACCTAAGAATTTAGGAACCAGTACAAATTGTATTCATGCTTTTAAAGAACATATATCTCTCTCACTTTTGAAATCAAAAATCAGGCCAGATACAGAGGCGCACACCTGTAATCTCAGCACAGCACTTTGGGAGGCTGAAGTGGAAGGACTACTTAAGGCCAGGAGTTCGAGACATGCCTGGACAACACTTCAAAACCCCACCTCTACAACCAACTTAAAAATTAGGACCAGACTTGGTGGCTCAGCCTGTAATCCCAGCACTTAGGGAGTCTAAGACGAGAGGAGCCTGAGCCTGGGAGGCTTCAGACCTGCCTGGACAACTTGGTGAGATCTCGTCTCTACAATAAATCACAAAAATTAGCCAGGTGTGGTGGTGTGCATCTGTAGTTCCAGCTACTTGGAAGACTGAGGTGGAAGAATTGCCTAAGCCCAGCAGGTCGAGGCTGCAATGGCCAAGAGCGTGGGCGACAGAGTGAGACTCCAACTCAAAAAAAAAATTCGTTGGGCATGGTGGCACATGCCTGTAGTCCCAGCTGCTCAGAAGGCAGAGGCAAGTAGATCACTGGAGCCTAGGAGCTTGAGGCTCCAGCGAGCTACGATGAAGCCACTATACTCCAACCTGGGCCACAAAGCAAGACCTTGTCTCAAAAATAAAAATAAAAAAATAAAAACCAGTCTCCTCCTCCTACTTCCGCCTCTAGTGCAACTTAACTCACCAGATAGCCCCACCAGCCACCACCTGGGAGATCACAGCAAAATCTAGGAAACTGGTTGGGGTCAGAGCACCTGCTTCTTATCACAAAGCAGCTCTACCTCTTAGATGCCACATGACCTTGGGCAAGGTAATGTGCCTCAGTTTCCTTATCTGTAAAACGGGGAGTAATAACAGTATCGACCTCATAGCTGGTGTGAGAATTAAATGACTTAATATTAAGTAGACAGCTTAGAACAGTTCCAGGCACAGAGTCAAGATTAACTATCACTACCATGTTCAATATTATTTCTACTGCATCTGAACCCACTCATACACTAACACTGTAACACAATTCCAGCTAGCACTCATTCTCGAGAACATCGAAAAAAGGAGTTTGTCGTTTGTTTTGAAGCCTTGGGGGAAAGGGGAAACAGTAAGAACAGACTGTGTGTCATAATCCGATGACAATTCTACTGTTAATTTTTGTTCAATTAAAGAACATCGTTAGGGAGGAAATATCATTAGGAAGGAAATGCAAGCTTTCAATAAAGGTGAAAACAGATTATTCGATATCCTCAAAATTCATGGCTGGGCATATGTTGCTTTCAACATATGATGGTCTTACCAGATCATCACTGCATGGGAAAGTACCCCATAGAGGGTAGTTATTCTTATTCTTGCTATGATCATGGACCTCAACGCAAAGTGGGATCTCGCAGACTTCCAGGGCCACCTTCTCACCCTCACCACCCAGCCTAGAAATCTACAGAGGTGTGAGTCAGTCACTAACATTATGGACCTGCTGTCCCTCTGCCTCTAGCTCAGCTTTTCTGCTTTTAGCTCCCTGAAGTATTAAGGATCTACGTGAGATTTTATTTACATGACAGTGTTCTGCCACTAAAGCTAGAAAGCACTGATGCCGTCTGACCCGACATCTGACGCGCGAAGAAACAAGGCCTTGGTTTAGAGGCCCAGCAACTTCTCCAAGAGCTGACTGCGGTCAGACCCTGGTGCAACTCTAATTTGGGCTCCTGAGACTCCATCCACAGCTCTGCCTACGACAGTGCACCACTGCACACGCAGAGAGATATCTCCAGATTTCTACCAGAACCAGCTTCTAAGCCCAGTTCCAATCCCCACTTTGAAGTCTGACTTACCTAAATCCCTCTCAACTCACCATAATTTCTCTCTGTTCTTCCAGATTCTTCAAAAAATTTGAAAATTCACGTAAGGAAGCATCTGTAAGGAGAAAGGAACGATGACTTGGTGGCCAAGGCAAGGGAAAACAAACCCAAAACCCATGTTTCTTTACCTATGCAGCGTTCATCATCTGTCTCAGCATCACCGATAAACTCAAACTTGAAGTCTCTGAGTGAATGAGCAAACTTCCGCTGAGCTGCTGACAGACCTAGAAAGAAAGGAAGAGTGATGACTTAGGCGCCTGCCTCAAGTCAAGGCGCAGAAGTGATAACTTAGGCGCCTGCCTCAAGTCAAGGCGCAGAAGAAATGTGTTCGCTCTAAGATTGGTAGGGCCATGGATCGCTCCTCTACGTGGTCCGTGAGAAGACACAGCCAAGAGGCCCATCGTCCTCAACCTGGCCCTATCAAGGTAGCCCCTGTCTCCGAGACTCCATTCTGGCCCAGAACCAGGGCTGGAGAAAGTTACTTCCTCCCCCATCTGCTTCTCCTCAGATCCCATTATTTCAAATTGCTCCCTAAAGCACTTTCCCTTTCTCTACTTACTCAGGTCAAAACCTGCCAGATTCTAAAGCTCCCACTGTGATGAGGAAGCCCCACACCAGACAGCATCTCTGGGGCTGGCTGAGATCTGGCTGCCTGCCACGGTTTCAAACAGAAGAGTCTCGAAAACTTAAGGTCAGTCAACCAGGTGCTCTTAACTGAGTGCCGAAGAACCACTCCAGCCAGAGAAACCCAGAAATTCAAAAAGGATGTTCATAGGCCAGGAACGGTGGTTCGCTTCTATAGTCCCAGCACTTTGGGAGGTGGAGGCAAGAGGATTGCCTGGGGGTTCAAGACCAGCCTGGGCAACCTGGCAAGACCTCATCTCTGCGAGAAGTCAAAAAATTAGCCAGGTATGATGGCGCGCGCCTGTAGTTCCAGCTACTTAGAAGGCTGAGGTGAAAGGATCACCTGAGCCCAAGAGGTCAAGGCTGCAGTAACCATGATCATGCAACAAAGTGAGACGCCGACTCAAAAAAAAAATAGAATGTTCATAGAAAATCGCATCAGAAAGAAAACTGAAGTCCAAGATGAAATCAATGGTAGAATTAATTCTGCAAAAGGCCTATAGAAGTCCTCATCTTAATCAGAGATTAACAGAATACTTGAAAACACTAGGGGTTTTTTTGGAGGGGGAGCTGGTAAAGACGAGGTCTCGCTATGTTGCCCAGGATGATCTCTAACTCCTGGGTTCAAGCAATCCTCCCACCTTGGCCTCCCAAAGTGCTGGAATTACAGGCATGCGTCATCATACCTGGCCTGGAAAACACTAGTCCTAAAACAAGCTAACATTTATTTGATGGGCCATGCACCATTCTAGGTGACACCCGTATTTTATCTCAATCAATATTCTCAAGAGACATATAAAGATTACTATCTCATTTTACAAGCCAGTGCTCATTGAAGTTAAGTAATTTGCATAAGGCTGCGCAGCTATGAACGAGAACGACAAAGGCTTGGTTTTACGCCAAAGCCATTGGTCAAAAGCCCATGCCCTGACCAGTGAACGATCCTGCCTCTGTTTTAAAAGCAATTTCTAAGAAGCTGCTTACGAACTCCTGCATCACACACAGCTCCTGTCTCAGCATAATGAAGACTGATGGTGTCATATTATGCTAAAATTCCACATCAAGCAAGTGGAAAACTTGAAAAAAGTCAAATGCAGTCCATAACTGATCAGGATACTCGCATGCAGTAAATAAGTACACATGGACACAAAAGTGAAGCAAAGATGTAAAAATTGAGTGTTGCTTTTTAATGAGATAGTGAGATAGGAAGCGTAATTTTCCTTTTTATTTTATTCATTGTATAGCTGACAAACAAGAAATAAAAGCCCCCCAAAATCTTATTTTTACACTAGAAAATGCTTTTTCTTTTTTTAACCAGATGTTTATGCCCAGTTATTAAGCACAATGCCTCCCCTGTGCCCCTCTTCTCTCACTTCCGAAACTAATTATGCTCATCAGCTCCTTCAGCTGCTGTCATGTTTTTACTGTTGTTAATAGTCTTATTTGTAGAGCGATTTTAGGATCAGAGAAGAACTGCAAGACAGACTGAAACTCTGACTCTGAAAAATTTAAAATAAATACATAAAATTTGAGTCAAGACAGGCACCCATCCAGAAGGCATAAATAACTGCTACAAATCAATGAGGTAAGGTAGAAATCTCAATAAAATATTGTGCAAAAACATTTGAATAGGCACTTCACAAATGGAAGCAAAAGAAATCCAAAGAGCTGATAACCACTTGAAAAGGCGCTCAAACTCATTAATGATGACAAAGTGAAAATTAACACCTCAAGATACCTCAGTACACAATCCAATTGGCAGAAATTAATACATCTAGCAACTCCAAGTAATGGTGTGACTTTAAGTGTGTACAGCAACAAATTTTATTCCAGTTGTGAAAGGAAAAATTGGTGTCATTCTTTTTTAAGTAGTTTGGCATTTTCTAGTAAATTTGATGATATCACTACAACCCAGAAATTTTCTTCCTAGATAAATTTCCAAGATAAAGTCTCTTGCACATAGGCACACGTAGATATGTATTTGAAAAATCTACAATAGAAATGATCACAGTAATAGCCAAACACTGAAAAAAAAAATCAGTAGAATAAATGAATAAATTATAGTAGAGTCACATACTATAAAGTAAAGAATAACTACGAATTCACTTATCGGCAGAGACGAACTTCACAAGTTGGAAAGAAAGACGCAAGTCACAAAAGAACACACAGCATAGTTCTTTTGCATAAAGTTCAAAACAAGCTACACTAAAGTATTTGTTTGGGTCTCATATATAGGTCGTAAAATCATAAATTAGCAAGTGAATCATTGTCTCAAAGTCATACAATGTTTAAAGAAGGGTGATACAGTCAGAAAGCTCCAAGGAGATTAAAGGCATTTTATTCCATAACCTAGTGGTCAGTTTGTAGATGCCTGATTTAGTGTGCTTAAAAATATGTATTTGTTTCATATACTTCTGTATTTTTGGTATAATTGCACAATTAAGAAATAAAAATGTGGCCGGGCACTGTGGCTCACGCCTGTACTCTCAGCACTTTGGGAGACGGAGGTGAGACGGTTGCCTGAACCCAGGGGTTTGAGATTAGCCTGGGTCTGAGATTAGCCTGGGCAATATGGTGAGACCTTGTCTCTACAATAAATCAAAAAATTAGCCAGGCATGATGGCATGCGCCTGTAGTTCCAGCCACTTGGAAGGCTGAGGTGGAAGGATCACCCGAGCCCTGCAGGTCAAGGCCGTGGTAGCCATGATCGTTATCACTGCACTCCAGCTTGAGTGACAGAGTGAGACTCTGACTCAAAATAATAAATAAGCATTTTAAAGACATTTTTAAAAGTAGGCTCAAGCCTGTAATCCCAGCACTTTGGAAGGTTGAGGCGAGAGGATTGCCTGAGCACAGTGGTTCGCAACCAGCCTGGACAACTTGGCAAGACCTCATCTCTACAATAAATCAAAAAATTAGCCAGGCATGGTAGCGTGCACCTGTAGTTCCAGCTACTTGGAAGGCTAAGGCGGAAGGATGGCCTGAGCCCAGCAGGTAAAGGCTGCGGTGACTGTGATCATGCCACTATCCTCCAGCCTGGGCAACAGAGTGAGACTCTGACTCAAAAAAAAGTCAGGCTACTCTAAAATAACTTAGCTTCTATTGTAAGCCAGGCAGATATGCCACAATTTTCCAAGGTCTAGCACACTGACACATGCCCAACTCACACCAGTCTATGAGCCCTTGGTTTGCAGCTCCCCCAGCCCGCATGTCCATAGACCCAACCCTCAACACGTGACCCAGCTCAGAATACCCTCCTCTCACCAGCCCTTCTAGAAGAATGCCACCCTCTCTCCACGGCCCTCTCATTCCGTTGCTGTTTTATTTTTGTCATAGCATTTCTGACCGGAAATTATCTCACTTGATCTATGTATATGCATTATTATCGACCTTCCCAGTAGAAAAATCACTTCCCTGGAGCAGCAACTGACGGTCCTGGGCTTCACAATGTCCCTAAAACAGGGGCCACAATTGCAAAGTAGGTATAATAGAATGGTTTTGTTTCATGTACCTGTTTCCAAATATTGATAGTCCATGGGCTTACCTTCTTTGTCTGTTTGTTTTTAAGTCAGAGTCTCACTCTGTCGCCCAGGCTGGAGTGCAGTGACATGATCACAGCCACCAAAGCCTGCATCTCCTGGGCTCAGGCGTCCTTTCGCCTCACCCTCTTGAGTAGCTGGGAATACAGGTACACGCCACCATGCCTGGCTAATCTTTTTTGATTTATTGTAGAGACGGAGTCTCACCATGTTGCCCAGGCTGGTCATTTTTTAATAACTATATATTTTGCTAATAGTTTGATTTACCAGATCTCAGCAAGGGCCTGTAAGCTGGTTTCATTTATATGTGTATGATTTTATATACATAAACATGTTTATGTTTTTATTTACCTATTTATGTACAAATATTTATTATATGCATTTATATATACTACTATGAATATACTGGTAGGAACTAATATTTTCCTCCTTAGAAGCTGTTTTCATAGAGTATTGTATTAGAAATTACCAGGTCAAAGGCTAAAGGATAACTTAAAGACAGTGTTGCATGTAGTCAGGATCTGATGCTCTTTAGAAAGTTAAAATTAAGTGCATCCATTTTTCCACATTTATTTCATAGTCCCTAATTCTGTTAGTTGAAAATGTGTCTAACAGTAGATTAAAGTTGGGTTTAGGACAAGGCATGGTGGTTCACGCTTATAATCCTAGTGTGTAGGAAGGCTGAGGTGGGAGGATCACTTGAGTTGAGGAGTTCAAGACCAGCCTGTGCAACATAGCAAGATCCTGACTCTAAAATTTGTTTATTAATTTGTCAGGCGTGGGTGGCTCATACCTGCAACCCCAGCAATTCGCAAGGCTGAGACAGGAAGACTCTAACTCAAGAGTTCAAGGCTACAGTAAGCTATGAATGTGCAACTACACTCTAGTCTGGGTGACAGAGTGAGATCCCGTCTCTCTTTTTTTTTTTTTAATTGGAGTCTCATACTGTCACCTAGGCTAGAGTACAGTGGCACACTCACAGTTAAAACAGCCTCCACCTCCTGGGCTCAGGAGATCTTTCCGCCTCAGTCTACCAACCACGCCAGGCTAATTTTCTGATT